CAATTAAACTGCATACACAACATACGAATCTTACCGAGTTACGTAATGATACTTTCATAACTATCGCTTTTAAAATAATCACATTTTAACACTTTTGTTATGAAAACTAATTAATAACTCTTAAACTAAACAGTCTTGTATATCCAACAATCGTGCATTACTTCAGCTTATAGTTTGAATGTATTAATGTCCAGTTATCTTCTCCCACAGTTCTAGAGTTAGCATGACTAAATTTAGCAAGTGGACTCTGGGTGGCCCGGAAGGCCACCCAAGTATGATGTAGGTTTAAGGGTTAATTTTCAGACCCGCTGAAACCGAATCTAGCATCAGATTTTGAGTTCCAGGCCCCTTTGGTATTCTTGGGGCACCATGTTTGAAACTATGTTCATATCCATACTCATAAGCTAGAGGGACCAAACTTGACAAAGATACTTAGGTACCACGAGATAACTATAGAAGCAACTGGAAATAATGGAGGAGCTAGATTGGTACAATAGGACCTTTGTGAATTGTGTTATTGTTTGTCTACTAAAGGGCCTGGGATGGCCAGGTGGTTAGGGCACGCGACTCGCAATCTGTGGGTCATGGGTTCGAAACATGCTCGCTCTTTCAGCCGTGGGGGCATTATAATGTGACGGTAAATCCCACTATTCGTTGGTAAAAGAGTAGCCCAAGAGTTGGTAGTGGGTGGTGATGACTAGTTGCCTTCCCTCTAGTCTTACACTGCTAAATTAGGGACGGCTAGCACAGATAGCCCTCGTGTAGCCTTGCGCAAAATTCATAGCCACTAAGTATATCAAAATATATTTGTACTAAAAAACTGTGTGTATCAATCTTGTTGGCAAGTTACGTAATAAATTGGGGACCCGTTCAGGGTAAATTGTAATATGTAATATGGGGCTCGTCCTGGATCTGAATCAGAGACAAAATTCGATCTAAATTCAAATTCAAATCATAATTCAATTTATATTTATCAGTGCCAACAAGATTTTAAAATGTTTGATTGTCAAGATTTTGTTCATTCGCCCTCCTCAAACAACTATAAAGGTATAACAAAAACGAATTGCTCGAAATTGCCCAAGTTTTAGAACTAAAAGTTAAAAACTCAATGAGAAAAAATGAACTAAAAAGCATATTTTTGAAATACTAGTCGATGATGGTTTGTTGCCTGAGGAAGTATTAGAGGAATATTCTGGTGTTCTCACTGGCCGATCAGAGTTGAGAGATAAAGATAAGTTAGAGATTCAGCTAAAACTCGAACAAATCGAGCTTGAACAAGCTCATAACGAAGCTGAAAGAAAAAATAAATGTCTCGAGGCCGAAAAAACTCGAATTGAAGCCTAAAATAAAAATAAGTTGAAAGAAATGGAAATTAGGCTCAACTCCAATCAACCAAGGTAAAATAACAACTTTGAATTTAATCGATATGTTAAAGCACCACCATTTAATGAAAATGAAGTTGATAAATATTTCCAACATTTTCAGAAGGTTACCTAAACCATGGAATCGCCCACAGAAAATTGGTCATTATTATTACAAAGTGTCTTAACTTGTAAAGCACAAGATGCTTATGCTGCTGTCTCTCTCAAGAAGATTGTACGAATTCTGAAAGGTTAAAGCAGCCATTCTCAAAGTAAACAAGTTAGTGCTGGAGGCTTACCGCCAAAAGTTTCGAGGTTATCGATAGCAAGCTCATAAAACTTATATGGAATTTGCCAATGGAAAATAGGTTTATTTTGATTGATGGTGTAATTCTATGCATATCAACAACAGTTTTGACAAACTAAGACAATTATTTCTAACTGAGGAATTTACACTTTGCGCACCTGGTGACCTCAAAACTTACTTGGACGAAAAAAAAAGAATAACTACATGAAACAGCTGCTTCCGATGATTACACTTTAACACATAAAACCACTTTGCATTAAAAGAATTTCCCACCATCTCAACAAAAACCTGTATCTGTTCAATCCACTAAAGTTGATGATTCTTCTAAAAAATCCAGCTCCTCTAGTTTGAAATCTTCTGACAGTCAGAATAAAACTTCCTCAAAACCATCAAGGCCTGTCTACCATTTTGTTTAAAAACCTGTTCACATTATATCCGATTGTTGGTGTTTGAAAAAGAGAGAAGAAAAGGAGGAAACACCCAGTGCATTTGTGTTCACATATGGATGTAGTTTTACCAGTTCACCCAATGTTGTTGATTCGGCCACTGATATAAAGGCTGATGTAGTTAGAGAGAAATTTAGAGCTTTTGTGTCTGTTGGTTCTGTGTCTTTGACAAATAACATTGTTGTTAGAAGGTATATTGCCTTTGGATCCGAGTTCTGCCACTGGTGAATATGTTATTACTCAGGGTATTGAGGGTGGCTTTGTTAATGTTCCTCTTCATAAATTCATTTGGCATCAGACCTAGTTTCGGGACCATTTGTGGTTGGAGTAAGACTTACTTTGCCAATTAAGGGTGTATCATTTATGTTGGAAAACGATTTGGCTGGGGGAAAAGTTGTTGCCGAACCCAAAATGATTAGCGAGCCAATCACTATTTCCTCTAAGGGTGATGTTGTCGTTGGGTAGAATCCTAAAGTGTTTCCCACGTGTGCTGTGACTCGAGCTCAGACTAAGAAATGAAGGCAAAAAGAAATGTTAGAAATGTATTCAGAGAACAATGTTATAGATTATTCTCAGACATTTTTTTGGGTCTAATGGGGATCTTATGGATGGTTGTCCTACTGACGATTCCTCAGTAAATGACAATGATAGACGTGAGGGAGCCGGCTCACCTGGTGAAATTCCATTTGCTAAAAGTAAACTGATCGCTGAGCAAGAAAAGAATCCACAGATATCTTCACTATTTAAATATGCACCCCTTCCAAAGGATGAGCTGGAGAATGTTCCAAATGGTTATTTTGTCAAAAATGGTGTGCTTATGAAAAATGGAGACCACCAGATGTGCCAGCTTCAGAGGACTGGGCTGTAGTTTACCAAATCGTTGTTCCCAAAGCATATTGTTCTTAAATATGGAACGTTGCCCATGAACTCCCCATGAAAGGTCATTTAGGTGTCAGCAAGACATGTGACAAAATTATGATACATTTCTTCTAGCCAAAAATTAGGCAAGATGTATCTCAGTTTTGTAAAACTTGTCATACCTGTCAGTTGGTCGGAAAACCTAACCAGAAAATTCCTATTGCTCCTTTGAAACCTATCCCAGCTTTCAAAGAACACTTCAGTCGTATGATTGTTCATTGTGTTGGACCTTTACTAAAAACTTGATCAGGGAACCAGTATTTCTTGACTATCATGAGCGCATGCTTTGATTAATTTCTTTACTTTTGTTGGCTTGCCCACAGAAATTCAGTTTTATCAGGTATCCAATTTTATGTCACGGTTGTTTCAACAAGTTGTTTATCAGCTCGGTGCTAAACAGATCAAATTAGTGCGTATCATCCAGAAGCGCAAGGTGTCCTTGAGAGGTTCCATTCTACCTTGAAAAATATGATGTGGACATATTATCTCGATAACGAGACGGATTGGGATGAAGAAGTTAATATATTAGTATTTGCTGTTTCTGAGTCAGTTCAGGAGTCATTAGGGTTTAGCCGGTTTGAGTTGGTGTTTGGCCATTCAGTGCGTAGTTCTCTGCTGCTGAGGGAAAAATGGTTGGAGGATGACCCCAAAAAATGCATTTATTGGAATGCGTTTCCAAGTTTTGTTCCAGACTCTTACGTGCTTGTGAATTAGCTCAGGAAAATTTGAAGTCATCCCAAGCTAAAATGAAAAATGTTTATGACCACAAAGCTGAAGAACATAAGTTTGTCCTGGTGACATGGTTTTAGTATTATTACCCAGTATGGGACAGCCAATCAAAGCTAGGTGTCATGGTCCCTATGAGGTTTTTCAGAAAGTTAATGATAAGGACTATGTTGTAAAACACCTGATTGTCGAAAGGCTATCTAGCTGTGTCATGTCAGTATGTTGAAGCCCTATCACATCCAAGATTCATTCGAAAATATTTTAGCTGTTGAGTGTTCTTTTGATACTGATGACGGGTGCTTTGACTCAGATGCCCGTAAACTTGAAAATATCGGAGATGAATGCCACATCAAACTGAATAATTCTGACATTCTGGCCAATCTTGATTCAAAACTCGACCACTTGTCTCCTGAAGAAAAAAATCAACTTGCTAGTTTATTCTTTGAATACGAATGTATATTTCTTGATGTTCCTAATCAAGCTAAAATTGCTGTTCATGATGTAGATGTAGGTGATACTTTTCCTGTGAAATAACATTCCTATAGTGTGAATCCAATCAAGGCCGATAAAATACGTAAAGAAATATCTTATATGCTGGAGAATGGCATTATAGAGCGAAGTAAAAGTGATTGGACTTCACCTTGTGTACTTGTTCCTAAATCTGATGGTTCAGTTAAATTCTGTACAGACTTTCGCAAAGTAAATGCTTTTACAAAGATAGATTCCTATCCTATTCCAAGAATGGAGGATTGTATTGATAAAATTGGAAAACCAGATATATAATAAAGTGTACCTACTAAATGGATACTGGGCTGTTCCTCTACCTGATATGGCAAAATAAATCTCTGCTTTCGTTACTCCTGATGGATTATATCTGTACATTGTAATGCCTTTTGGGATGGAACATTCTCAAGCAAATTTTCAGCGAATGATGAATCATTGTCTCAATAATCTGTTAGATGTTGGAATTTATGTTGATGATGTTGTGATTTTCAGTGACATCTCGGAAGAACATTTACTTGTTGTTTACAAGTTGTTTACTTGTGTCATGTTGTAGGCCACAGTCAAGTCTTACCAATTCAAGCCAAAGTTGATTGTATTGTGAATTATCTAACTCCTACTAACAAGAAAAGTCTGATGAGATTTTTGGGAATGGCTGGTTACTACAGGTAGTTCTGTAAAACTTTTGCTGACATCACTGTACCATTAACAAACCCAATAAAGAAAAAAAAATCAAATGGTATGAATCATGCCAATGTGCTTTTGAAAAGGTCAAATATTTGTTGTGCACTTACCCTGTATTTATGGCACCTGCCTTTCCCGTTAGCTGTCGATGCCAGTGATTTTGGTGCTGGTGCTATTCTATTACAATCTGACGACAAAGGTATTGAACACCCCTGTTTGTTATTTTTCTAAGAAGTTAATTGTCACTAAAAGAATTATTCTACTGGGGAAAAAGAAACATTGATTTAGTGTTAGCTTTAGAATATTTCAATGTATATGTATCTGCATCACAACAATCTATTGTCCTTTACACTGATTATAACCCTTTGACGTTTTTGAACCGAAGTGCTGTGTAATTTTATGATCATAAGATTATTTGTATTGATTGTGTTATATACTGTCATGATTATTGAAGTTGTATAATTCTTTGATAATGTATCATATCAAATATATTTTATCAATGTATATATATATATATTATCTTAGTTAAAAAATATCTAACGCCAATCATTAATTCTCTAAGAAGGGAGGTGTGACGGATTTGTTATTATATACCTATTTTAATATTGATGTTTAAGTTATATTTATATGTAGAAATTTACATAACTTATACTGTTAAAC